AAAACATCACCTTCAAGATTTGGATCAACTGCAACCATTCCCTAAAGAAATATGTATATAAATGTATCTCTCATCATCACTTTTGTCACTATGAAATTCTTCAACTCAGTTTGATTATGTTCTTAAGTCTTTATTCAAAATTACTAATTGTAGTTTACTATAATTAAAATATTAAGATCTGTCTAACTCTTAACTTTACTAATTCTACACGTTAAACTTAAATAAATTTATCAAGTATAAAGACTTAAAAGATGAGATTATGAATAATTTAAATAAAGAATTCAGATGATAAACTCAATTATAAATAATATGTAAGGATTACGTCAGACTATATAAAGATATGAAAAGATAGAAAGATATAAGTTTTAATTGATTCTTTTATTAATATTAAACTCGTATTCATAAAAGGGTTTTCAAATTTGTAAAGAGTTAATTTATAACATAAAAAGTCTATCTATTTATATAAATTTCTTTTATTACAGCTAACTATTTACTATATTATAAACTAACTAATTTGATAAATAATATATAAGTAAAATAAATATACTAAAGATAATAAAAATATGTAAAATAGTAAAATATAATAAAAATAATAATAAAAAGTAGAATATTAAAAATAAGTATAACATTAAATATTTCTAAACTTCATTTAACTTGTAAAATTAAAATTATTCTTAATATTTAAAAGATTTGTAGAATTATGTAGATCTTCCATATTTTTAGAATTCTGGATTAAGAGAGTATCATATTTATAGATGCCTACTGAAACCTTCTCAAAATAATTTTGTTATACCCTTTTTTATATTTTTAAAATAGGTTGACAGTTTTGGCTTTTGTTATATCAAATAGTTTTGTCGTATCCCTTATTATGATTTTAATATAGTTTCATTTAAGTTTTGACTGTTATTAAGAGGTTTCGTCCCTCATCTATAATCATATTGTATTATTTACATAACTTTATTATTATTGGTCAATTGCTCTGTTGACAATATATTATATATAATATATTAAATAAATTAGTTATATTAAATATGTAAAATATATAAAATTATTTTGTTATATTTATCTATATAATTAATTTTATATAAATATAAAATTTAAAATTATAATAAATATAAAGAATTTTTTTTAAAATCTTCTATTTTTTTTTTAGTTTTAATTTTCTTTAATAAAGATAATTAGTTTATAATAACATTTTTTAATTTTTAATTTTAGTTATTTAGTTTTTCTCTATTTTATTATTCTTTAATAAATATATTATTAAATTAAATTTTTTTAAAATTTTATTATTTTATTTGTAATTAATAAATAGTAGATTTGATTATTATACTTTATATTTATATTACTATTTATAAAGCTCTAAATCAAATCAAATTAACCTATTACATAACATAAAAATTTAAATCAAATCAGTAAATTTTATGTTAATGTTAAATTATATCAAACTATTATCTAATTTAACCTAATCTAAAAATTAGGTTAAACAATCATTTTCTTAAACAATAATATATTATTAAATTAAAATGATGGTAAATTAATCAAGAAAATAATAACAAATTATTCTAATTAAATGAGTTATTTATTAAATATTAAGATTTTATATAATTTTACCTTTTATTAAATTTGCAGATTTTTTAAACCTCACAGAATCTTACTTATAACCTCATATTTAAATAAATTTATATGATATAAGTTTATATACTTTATATATTTTACCTATAAATCTATAAACTTTATGTATAAATTTATATAAACTAAATAAACTTAATCTTAAAATTTTTTCAGATATAGTTTTTATAATTTGTATATAAGAAAAAATCTTGTTATATAATATTAATACTATAAAATAGAAGAATAAATAAATAAATATATGTATGTACAGTATGTATGACCTTTGCAATGGAAGGGGAAGGAGGGGGGATCAATTTAAATTTATATGCCAAATATTATTTTTAGGTCAAAATATGTTCAGATTCAGCATTAACCCATTTTTTATTTTTTCCAGCTGTTTTCCCCTTTTTCTATTGCAAAGGTCCATATAATAAAAATTATTAACAAAATGATAATTTTAGAATTAGAAACTATTTAATAATATTATTATAATTTATATAACGAATAAATGCAATATTTAACAATTTTACAATTTTCATATATATAATTTTATATTTCCAAGAACAATAGATGATAAAATGTAATTTGTTAATTTATTAACGTTAATATTAAAAAATATAAAAAACGGTTCTGAATTTTACCGAGTTTTACCGCGTTTCGCGTAGAATTTTCCAGGTTTTTAGTAACTGTTCGAAATCAGTTCAATGAATTTCTAAATTTCTACTTCCCTTATAAGTTTTTTAAAGTATTATCTATTTAAAGAAACTTAACTTTTCTTTTTAAACGAAGAATATTTATTTTTTACATTATGATTGTCTTGGTGAACCTTCATAATATATTTATTACTTTATTGCATCCACATAAGTTTGAGCGGGTGCTATGTAATGAAAAAATAAAATAATAATAAAATATATCTTTCGCCATCCGTGATTTTCCAACGTTTAATCTTTCTTAATTCTTAGTCCTTTAAAAAATTCAGACATATTCATCAAGGATTGGGAGTATTTAAAGCAAATTTGAATTACAGCGCGAACATTAAATTTGTTAGATTCAATTAAATGAGAGAAGTAATTTTATCAAAATTAGATACTGTACATTTTGGGGTCATTCGGAAAAACTCGATGTAGATCTTGCATTTAAATCGGACTTTATTTCCGTCCACAAAAAAAAAACTTTTTCACATTTCGCACTATTTTTTCAAACTTTAATATCATGGAAATACTGAAAGTTAAAGTTAATAACAAAGAATGGAGACAAATTAAAATTAAGAATGTTCATTTTAAAGCTACAAAAACAGATGTTATAAACGCTTTATTAGATTTCGGACCCATAGTTGATTGTATCCTGATAAAAAATCAAAAAAGGAGAGGTGTTTATGGTTACGTAGAATTTAAAAATGAAGTTGATGCTAATAAATGTATTGCAAAATCACAATCACGTGATCTACTATTTTGTATGGGAAGACCTTTATATGCACTTGGTGTCAAAAGAAAAAAGGACAACACAAAATGGAACGATGTAAAGGAAGCTAAGTCTATCTTTTCAAATTTGGAAATCGGGAATTGGGGTGGACAATCATCTAAAGTGCATACAAGTAGCAAAGGAAGAAGAAATAGAAGTTACGCTGATACTCTCACGGAAAAATTTACTTTCTTAAAAGAATGGGAATATCCGAATGATTATAAGGAGCCAAGTATATGCTTTTCAAAAACCGCTGAAGCCTTTGTATTGGAGGGGTTTGATTCATCATCATCAGTAACCTCAAAAAGACGTGTTAAAATTCCCTTTCGTATTTTAACCGAAAATGCACGTGGAATTTTTATAGATGATAGTGACCAAAGAAATGGTGTAATCTCACTTTACATTAGCTTAAAGCATCCTCCATATCTTTACCGCGAAAACCTCATGCGAGAAGTAACTGACGATGATTTTTGGACCAGAACTGTTGATTGGACTGGAACTGATAATATATTTGGAAGATGTTTGGTGTATCGATTAGTTTTTAGATCTGACCTCAATGAATTATGTGACTTATTAGATAATTTTAAGTTAAAAGGCATTCAACGTCCTATGCCTCGATGCCCAGTCAATTGCGTTGAAAATCCAGATTATTCGAAAGAATATTTTGAAATTATTCTTCAGACATTACCATTTGGATTATGTTATAAATTGGAAAGTTTAATTTCCCATGGAACATTAACACATTATGAATTGGAAGTTAACAACTTGGGGGAAATTTTAGCCGAATTGGTGCATGTTGAAGAACAAGAAGTAATAGCGTGGCACGCACTAAATCAAATATCGGCTAAATATTGGGATCCTTTTGATAAAAAATCTCAAGATCGTCCAATTTCAAATTTTCAGGTTGCACTAAAAAACTTTAAGAGTGAATTGAATGTTTGGTATCCTTCAAATCCGAATATTAAATTAATAAACAATATGCGTAATGCATGGGTAAGCCATGCAACGATAACACCTACAAAAATATACTTTGACGGGCCAAACTATGAACAGTCGAATAGGATATTACGTTTATATGAGGATAAAATTGATCGTTTTTTGCGTGTTACATTTAAAGAAGAAAATTTTGATAAATTATTTGTTAATAAAAATGAAGACAAAGATATAATTGATTTGAGGATTATTTATATTATGAAAAATGGATTTCATGTGGCTGGCCGGTACTATGAGTTTTTAGCTTTTTCTTCATCCCAACTAAAAGAAGCATCTTGTTGGTTCGTTTCTCCAACTGAAGACTTCAATGCAAATGCTATCCGAACTCGTATGGGAGAATTTAGGTATAATTTATAAATTACAAATTATATATAGCCTGTCAATTAATTTAACCAGCTCATGTTAAATAGAGATATTAAGGTTCCTGCACTATATGCATCTCGTATGGGACAATGCTTTACAAGTACGATGGGAACATTGAAACTTAATCCAGATCAAGTATACGAAATAGAGGACATCGAAAGAAACAATTATACCTTTAGGTAATATGATCATTATTGGAAACATCATTTCCTATTATTCAATTTAAGCATTATTTATGAATCGATTATTATTATTATTATTATTTAGTGATGGTTGTGGGAAAATTTCGTTAAGTTTAGCAAAGCGAGCGGCGAAAGAGTATTGGGGAACCAAAAAACTAAACGATGATGAGATCCCTTCAGTGTTTCAAATACGGTTTGGTGGATGTAAGGTTAGTATACGCGATTTACGATTATTTTGATTATGATGAGAGATACATTTATATACATATTTCTTTAGGGAATGGTTGCAGTTGATCCAAATCTTGAAGGTGATGTTTT